GGGGCTGGGGTACACCCTCGACAGGATGCCAGTCCACCTCAGGGCACGGGGCTGGGGTACACCCTCGACAGGATGCCAGTCCACCTCAGGGCACGGGGCTGGGGTACACCCTCGACAGGATGCCAGTCCACCTCAGGCCACACACACAAACTATGGGCAAGTTAAAGACACCGGTTTGCCTAACTACACGTCTTCATGCTACAGGAAGAAACCTGCACTACATAGGGATAAGGTATCTTCTCCAGGGACAGGATTCAAACCACCGACATTGCAGGTATGAAACAATGCCTAGCAGTGAGCCGCAGTCACATTCAGTGTGAATGAGATACTCTCTCAGCCTATATACACTGATTATGACCATCTGAGCAGTTTTTGCACAAATCCAGCCACCCTCAACTGCTTACCCAGTATTTTGTGGTGGATGTAGCTTAGTGATAGAGCACCTGCTTTGCCCTGGGTTCATTCCTTAGTATCTCACTGAATTTGGGGGTGGTTTGTGCCTCAGTGGACCAGGCCTCTGTACGTGTTATCAGAAGGTCCAGGGGTTCTGGATGAATGGCTGACCTTGTTGTCTGACCCCAGGCTTCGCTCTTACCTATATATGTGTGTTTCCAAAGGAGCCCAAGATGGCATATGCAAGAACTACCACATTCCAATGTACCTGTTCTTGTGCAAATAAGGCTTCAGTTTGAATATTACAGGTTTGAGCCTGGAGACTCTGCTAGGAAGCACAGAGCAGAAGGCTGGGGACCTGTTTGACAGTCCATGACAGGGACATGCTAACTCGTTAGTTCACGTAGCTGCATGTTTTAAGGACTGTGGGAGGAGACCGGGGTACCTGGGGAGAATGAACACAAACACAGGAAAAAAAGAAAAATCCACACACTGCAGGTCTGTCTGTCGATGGGATTCACCCCGGAATTCTGAAGCTACGATGTTAACAAATCAGACACCCTGCTGCCTCTTATTACAGAAATTATATTACTAAATAAGTGTTATATCTATAGTACATGGCTTATAAATATGTGAAGTTTGTGGTTTTGTCAATAATATCATAAAATATTCCAAGGGGATAAAATTAAATGCCTCAGCAGGTCACCATCTAGTTATAGTTTGATTTTCTGAATAATAACATAACTCAGTAATCATGATATATTGAAGATTATTTGTAACAATGCTGTCAATTCATTAGCATTTTAGTGCTCCATTCCTACTAGAAATAAACATATAAGATAACTGATTTAGCATTTATACAAAGCACCTTGTTTTATATTGTTTTATAATTATATATTTAGACAATCTGCATTCAAATGTTATCGAATAAGTTTATATCATCTCAGTTTAATCTCTGTTAAAAATGAATCATAATGCAATCATTTAAATGAGCTCCTCCTAGCCCCATGTAATTTCTTATGGATATATAGCTTAATAGATCTCCAAGCCTGTCACTATAGTTACAGATCCATCTTGTTTTTATACGTATAAAAAATGTAAGACCTTCTCCATCAGAGTACCGCATTGCACAAATTGTGTTTTGCCTGGTACCTATGACAACCAAATGTTCCCCGTGTGATTCCCTGACTTTAGCAAAACCAGCTTGTTATTTCTAGAGGGCAGTGTGTAGCTGTAGTACATTTCCTAAAATACCAGCCACAGGAACACACTTCAATGATGCATCTAAGGCTCTTACTAAAAGTGTTGCTACCACTGGTCATCGTGTTGTTTTCCCTGTTGGTCAGGAATGTGTCCTTGGCTTGCTGCCCATACTGACTAATTGGTGTTCTAGTGACATTTTCAAATATCCACCAATTTTCTACATATGTTTATCTGGTACAGGTTTGTCGTGAGCCTGGTGTCTATCCCAGGAAGCACAGGACACTGTACTGGAGACACCCGGAACATCCTGAAAAGATACAATGTGCAATATAAGGAGACAAATTTGCCTGATCATGTAATTTTAAATATGGAGAACATTACAACACCACACATACAGTGAGGGTGGCATTCAAAACCACAAAGTGAGAGGTCACACTGCTGCCTGTGATTAAAAATTACATAATTGACAAATATCTATACACAGCTTTGTTTGTGGTGTAGCAGAGCTGGATTGTGTGTTTATGAAGTGTATGAAATGTCATTTTTAAATGTTAAATTGGAATATCAGCTTAGTAAACAAAACACACCCATGTACTGCAGCAATTCATTGGGTCTGTTCATATAATCCAGTTTTCAAAAGTAATGTGGGAAAGGGGCTGACATCGTCCATCAGATTTGTTGACATGCTCTAATTATGTTCCCTCATCTTGTCCTGGATGGCAGTGATGTATAGTTGTCTTTCAGTTAGTTACAAAATAACTTAAGTGCAAGGTCACTTGGACAGAGGTACTCGAAACATGTGAAACAATTTGAACCTGAAATGGATAAATATGATTGCATGATTGGCAATATTAGTGTTATTTGTGCTTTAGCTGTAAAAATAGTATTTTTCCCCCAAACAGAAATTTTAGGTCTTTATATGCAACGTGTCT